TTCTATACTTATTTATGCCACTATATTTTTGTTTTTAGTATCATAGTATCTTGCAGAAAATATTTATATGAATTATAGTCTTTAAGTTCGTTTAAGTTAAAAATATAACTGTATTTATTAAATATTATCTTAGCTTACTAACTAAAGTTGTTAACTTAACACCTGATGCTAAACTGGCACTACAGTACCTATAGCGGCTAGCACTCGACACTAGGTATAAATAATACTAGTTGACTCGAGGATTACTGAAAATAATAAAACCTGACCTATATATGTAGTCTATTTTTTTGGGTACATATTTTTATGTTTACATTTTTTTTTACAAGTTTTCATGGCCTATTTTAGAGTAGTTATCACTTACCAGTATAAAATGTGACACTATATATATGACTTAATACAATTAAGTAATACACATAAAATATATTATCATTATAACTCTAGCCATAGGAATAAATAAATAAACTATAAAGATTATACCTAATAAAGCTGAATATTATAAGGGGTTTTTACTCTCGCATGTGTTGTCTCAGTCTTACTCTTGTACAATATTATAGCAAAAACTGTCTTGTGTGGGACAACTACTTCGTCTGTGCTTGTAGTAGAATCACCAAAACTTCACAAAATAAACCAAATCATTTATGTTAAAAATCTGTGCTCCTTAGAAACTCCTGTATTTAAATATGAAGAATACATACTGTATTTTTAATTTTTTTTTTACGTAAATGTAAAATATTATACTTCTTTCGCGGGCCAGATATTAAATGATGGCGGGCCGGAGTTGGCCCGCGGGCCGTAGTTTGGCCACCACTGAGCTAGATGATGGATGTAGTTGATTTCAGATTTTAAAACAATAAATAGGTGCCAATTAATGTATTTTAATTTATAATTGATGAATTAATAAATAATTTCTTTTGATGAAATGATACTGTAGTGCAAAGGGTATAATTTATATACTTTATATCGTTAAATAAACACAAATTATCAATAGGATGTCAGCTAGCGCAATATTTGTTTTCTCTCTCAGACTGACGTGCAAACGTAGATAAAGTCACGGAGAACCATTTTTTTTATGATTTTTGAATAACCTATTATTACTATACTATATTTAATATTGTGTAGCAACTGGCAAGGGGAGAAAGTGAGCTTTTTGAAAATTGCCTTCCCTCACGAACCACACTAACTATTTTTGTCAAACCTCTGCGTTAATCGATCAGTGTCTTGGTTAGGGAGTTTACCAATTGCGCTTAAAATGACCACGTTTTGGGATTTCCACTTTACCGCCCAGTGACCCACTCCATGGACTGAAAAGGTCACTTTCCGCTTCAACCGTTATCGAAAACTAAACTTTCGGTGCAGAAGTGACAAAAAAAATTATAAAGTCGGTTTTATATTTCATTATTATTTTACTGAAAAATATAAAATTTAAATGATTATACTTATTGAATTGTTTTGATTTTTGAGACAATATATTTAGACAAATCTATGTCATACACTTATTCTCTATAATTATTGCGATGTGTGATTTTAATCAAGATAACTCAAATTCATAAAAAAAAATTATTTTACGTGAATGCGTCTTCTCTATTTTGCACGTGGGCCAGAGAGAACAGTACGCTTACATCATCTTAAATGCATAATAAAGATCACGATATAATATTTACATTTCATACCTACATTTTCAGGACAAAACACTATTATGTATGAAAACAATCTAAAAAAAGTATCGTATAATAATACTTTCCAATTAACTTCCTTGCTATATAATTGGTGTTTGTAATTAAAATAAATATAAAATCTACTTCGTTTTAAATGACCCGAAGTGATATTTGTTCAGCCTGTGCCCGTTGATTACAAATATTTTTGAATCTATTTAATGCCAATTGGTTTTCTGGATGAGTTTCGTGGCCTGTCATCAGCAAAACTTTCGAAGTGTCGCTATTAAAAACTTTGCCTTTTGCATGACAACTAAAAAATAAAATAATATTTAAAATATAAACATATATAGGTTCCTCTACTAATAATTACTAAATTACATAATACACTATTTTCTATTACTTAATAACACAACCATTTAGAATAAAATCTACTAGTACAGCAAGATCACTGCAGTACTAACCATATGGTCAGCAAAATTTCATTATTTTAAATCTATACCAGTAACCTGGATGACAATGAGGTGAAAAGAAAAAAAATTATTAAATCGAATTTATGACTTCTAAATCTTTAAATATTTTAATGTACAGAAAAAGAAGTTAGGTAATTTTTTATAATGAAATAGAGGTGATTGTTTATAATTATTAAATTTACCCAGCCCTCCAGGATGCACAACGCAACGAACAGTAAAGTTCATTCGACATTGTCGATTTTTCCAATACGTAAATCCATCGTCGTATTTGTATTTAAGTCCTATGCCTCTGGAACCACCAATCTCACGAATAACTGTCTCCATTATTTAATTAAATGATCGTGTTTTATAATTTATTTTGAAAATATTATAAACACTAATAACGCATACTATACGGCATCAATCACTCGTAACATACATAAATGTAATGATTGCGAACGATGGAATAATGAGGGATATTAAAATCTAACAACATTTTATAATATTATTAATCTAGAAAAATGTGTACCTATCATGAATACTGACTACTACAAATTTAACTTCTAAGATATTCAGTCATTTAGTATTTAATATTTATTGAACGAATTAATATTACGAGTATTTTTAATTGTTTTGTGTCTGTGTAAGTGATAAGTAGGGCTCGGATTTTATAGCAGGATTAATAATAAAAAAAGGATACAATTGTTTGGAAAAAGTAAAAAAAGCATGACCAAAAATTAACTTAAACTACCTAGGCATACAATTGAATAAAAAAAATTAAAAAAGAATTTTACCAAGTATTTTTGCTAGATTTGCCACGTAAAAAATAATAATCCAATAAGCAATAACCATTTAGTCCGAATTCCAGGTTTTTACATTTCTTATTAATTAAATTGATTTTTTTTTATTACTATATGTATAGCATAATAAACATATAAAAAGGGGGGCAAGTGGATATGTTCTGCTGTACAGTAGGTTAGAAGTGGGTCATTGTATAATGAATTGTATTAAACTTGAATTCAATGATATAATATCAATTATCAAAAAAAATTAAAAATACAGTATACATTCTTCATATTTAATCCCGTATCGCCATATCTATTTGGACGGGGATCTATGTGGCCGTTCACCATATTATGTAATGGCACCATAGATCTATAAAAGATATATATACCTTATATAGGACTCTGGTATATGAATGGCACGAAAATAAAATATTTCAAAGACAAATTAATATATTTTTGCTTATATCGTCTTTGGTATTTCTAACAATGTGCGCTTATCTCTCTCGCACATATCTTTGATTCACGTATCTCTCTCTATGCGTGGTCCATTCTTTTATAGGTCTATGGGCCGGGGAAACGGAGCGGTGCTTTATTTTTTACGCCATGGGTTCGCTGTAGCCGGCATTTCTTCATTTTATAAATTTAGATAGATAGATAGATATAACGTTTTATATTATATATATATAAGATATATATAAGATTGTTCGCCACATTTTATCGTAGTCATGGTAATATAATACCTAAAAACACACTAGATGCATTCGAGCAACAAATATTAGTTGTATAAAATATTTATTTATCAATATATCGTTTAATTAATTTTAATAAAACTGTATTCAATAAATATATATTTCATTTAACCACCTATTTTTCGTTATTAGTATGGCTTTTTTATTACTGAATCTCGTGGAAAGTATAATCAAAGCTTTTTCCGCCAGACATGAAAAAAAAAGTTTAATCAAAGCTGTTTCTGGCAGACATGAAGAAAAAATTTTAGAATGGTGGGAAACGGCACTTTATTACCAAATCCACCCGAGATCATTCAAGGATAGTAATGCTGACGGTATAGGAGATCTAAAAGGTAAGTGTATAAACTATATTATTATTTAGTAAATTTCAATGTTTTATTGTGTGTTTTTGAAATTTTGTAAAGGGATTGAAGAGAAAGCTGAACACTTCAAAGATTTGGGAGTGGACTGTGTTTTGTTATCACCCATTTTTAAATCACCTATGGCAGACTTTGGTTATGATATTTCGGATTACAATATGATTGATCCCGTATATGGCACAATGGATGATTTTGTTTCATTGCAGAAAAAATTGCAATCTTTAGGTAAGTAAAGACATTTTCAACTTGAAATAATAATGTATAATGGATGCTATTAAATTTGAATTCAATGATACAATATCATTGTATAAGAAAAACGATTCTGAGCGAAGACAATAATTTTTATAATTTAGGCATTAAAATTATTTTGGACTTCGTACCTAATCATTCAAGTGATGAACACAAATGGTTTAAAAAGTCTGTGGACAAAATTATGCCATACAAAGATTTTTATGTATGGAGAGATGCTAAAAGCAATGACAATAATACGAGAACGCCACCAAATAATTGGGTAAAGTATTTCAAGATTGAAAATCATAATATAATATTTTGTTTGTTTTCATTTATGACGTTTAAAAAAAATGTCTGTAGCAGCGTATTCTGGGTATTGAATTTTTTTTTGTCTTGCAATTGTTATACTTTTATATTTTATTTTAATTAGCATAGTAACAAATTATAGGGGGACGGAGTGGCCGAGTGGACTAAGGCGTCGGTTGCGACGCGCGCAGTCGCCGGTTTGAACTCGGCCACGGGCGGCAATTTTCTTCGGGCAGTCACGGTGTCCGGAGAGAGAGGCCGCCATCCCCCACCAGGGTATGGCAGATACATACGGGTGCCCACTTGAAAATTCTACCAAAAAAAAACACACTTGTTCAACACCTACAGTACCCTCCGACACAGTTCCACAGGCTAATGACCTCAGTTGTCGAAGCCTCAACCCCAAAAAATAAAAATAAAAATAAAATAATTTTTTTTAAATATTGAATAAACGTATAATATTATTATGTATACATTTTTTCAGCAAAGTTTATTCAGTAATTCAGCATGGACATGGAATGAACAACGTAAACAGTATTATTTACACCAATTTGACCGTAAACAACCAGATTTAAATTACAGAAATAAAGACTTGGTTGAAGAAATGAAAGTAAGAATACATCTCCAAGAAAAAATAAAAATAAAACAATACAATATAATATACTTAGATTAAGATTAAATCATTAAAACCTATAATCTGTCAGGGCATAACGAACTATGACGATAAAATTATTTTGTTTTGCATTTTTTGTGCAGAACAACTTGAGGTTTTGGTTGGATCTTGGTATAGATGGGTACAGAGTAGTTGCCGTACCGTTTTTGTTCGAGCATCCAGACTTTTTAGACGATATCAGGAAACCAGAAAAACTTGCTGAAAAAGAGAAAAATACTTATGACCAGTATTATCACCCCAATACAATGGATTTAGATGAAACGTATGGCATGATTAATCAGTTTAGGGACGTAATAGATGAATACACACTGAAAGATGGAAAAAGCAGGTATAAACTTTTATCACACTAAGTATTTAACCATATAACTATTGACATTTAACATTTCATTGTGGATCAATTTTTTAATTTAGTATATTTTAGTATCTATCAGATAAGTACCATAAATTATGTTCATTATTAATAATAATAAATAGTATTATACAAAAATTAAACAATTTTCATGACTTTTTTTGCAAATTAACAAATTCTCAAATTTGAAATACCGTAATTTTGTTACCGATTATTTTAGATCGAATGATATTATATGATAAAATATGATAAAATATGTTGTGCATATATGACTTGAAAATTTTGAAATTTTTCTACCTATTATTTATTCTGTTTATAAAAAACTTACGAAACTTTAAAGAGGACGTATCACCCACATGGGTTTGCCCCTAACTTTTAAACGTGCAACTTAGAAAATTTGAGTTCATTCGAACCAATTTTGTGTTGTTACGTGAATACTGAATATAAAATATGTAGATATATTATATAGAACTATTTATATATATATAAAATATACTTATACCTATATATTATATAAAACTTAAAGAACTTAATGGTATGAATATTATCTTTGAGCATTCGTTTTTTATAATGTATTGATTTTTAAGTGAGTTATGACTAGAGCTCGGATTTGTATGTTTTTGCATATTTTTTTCCTTTTCACTTTTTTAAATTTTTGTCAATAATCTTTACGAATCATACTAATTGGAATCCATTGCTAAATTTTTATTTTGCATATTACATTTTGCATTTTACACATAGTCATAACTTATGACTATGTGTAAAATGACAATTAAAAACAATTAATTCTCATAAATCGCTTAAAAATTTAAATATTGTTAAAAATCAACGGACTTGTTTACAGATAATGTCTGTCATTACTTTTAGATAAGTCTGATAATAGATCTTCACACTAATTTTTAACCTAATAACACAAAATAGTATCGTTCACATTTGCTTTGTAGTTTGTTGATGAGGATAACAGAAATTCATAATACTATACTTTTGAGACGGCCTCTTAAAACCTACTCCTAGAACGAATATAGTTTAAAATTTAAATGTTTGTCGTTGCCCTGTTTATTAAAAATATCATAATATAAATGGATAATATATTTTATCACTGTGTTTATAGAGTTATGATAACTGAAGCATACACTTCTTTGGAAAACACTATGAGATATTATGGTAATGAGACCAATTTAGGAGCACATATGCCATTTAATTTTGGATTGATCGATCGACTTAATAAATATTCGAACGCCACTAAATTCAACGAAGCGATATATAATTGGTTGGACAATATGCCTGATGGAAAATGTGCGAACTGGGCGGTAAGTATCGTCGCGAGTTAGTCTTTATTCAGAGTACCGTGGCGTAATTAGGAATTTGGGGGGGGCTTATCCCCCTAATCTCTCACCCCCCCCTAATTACGCCCCTAATTCAGACATCTCTCTCTCTCTCTCTCTGCAATATCTATAGGTTAAATCCAAATTGTCATCAATTTAGATTTTAAACATTTTGCTTACCATATTTAATATTATATATAATTTATATATATTTGATTTCTAATATAAAACAAAAAAACAGCAAAAGTAGACATTTTTATTCAATAATAAGTTACCTACTTATATAATTATTAATAATATGTAGTTTCTACAAATCCCATTATCTACCTTAAATATGTGTTAGATAATAATAATGGTTGTAAATTGTAAATTGTAATAAAAACAATAAATACAACAATCATACAAAGTTATGTAATAATAATATTATATAATATAGTTAGTTTACACATACCTAAATGGCTAAATACCTAATATATTATCATTTTATTTTTAAATTGTCAACACTCGACAGACAAGAGTCCAAGTATAGAATATTTGTTACACTTTTAAACACTGAATTCTGAATACTATTATATTTAATGTATATATACATTTTAAATAACTTAATATTCTACTTATCTATAAATTATGCATAATATTAGATAGAAGAGTTAGAAATTCATAGCTTTAAGAACACTGAAAAAGCATATAAAATAATGAACAACATTTTTTTTTATTAAAATTCATATTATAATGAATTAATTTAGTTTTTTTTTTTAATAATTACGTATGTGTGTGATATTATCATGGGTTAAAGCTGGTTTAAAATCTAAATTTTAATATTTGTACGATATAAAAGCGAATACCTATATACAAAATACAAACTTAAATAATAAGTAAATATGGTGACTACAGCCCTCCTGTTGGTTATCACCCATAATTTTGGGTATATTTTTTTCTATTACACTTTGACAAAACTAATTTTCACAAAATAAATGATTTTTTAATCCGACACGTCACAAAAATAAAATATACAATTTAATACGCTTTATGTGTGCAGATCGGAAACCACGACAATCCGCGCGTGGCCACCCGGTTTGGCGGCGAAATGGTGGACGCCATGAACATGCTGAACATGTTGTTGCCCGGCGCCGCGTTCACGTACATGGGCGAGGAGATCGGCATGTCGGACACGGCCATCCACTGGGACCAGACCGTGGACCCGAGGGGACGGAACGCTGGGCGCAGCGGTTTCCAGACATTGAGCAGGCACCCTGCCAGGTCGCCGTACCAGTGGGACGCCAGTTACAATGCCGGGTTCACGGTATCCTTTAATCCGTGGTTACCGGTGAACCCCGAATACTGGATGGTGAACCTGGAGTCACAGCAGAAGCCTTACCCCAGCCACTACAAAGTGTACAAGCGGTTGGCCAAGCTCCGGAAGACCCGGACGGTGCAGCGCGGTTCGTTCGACGGCAAAGAGCTGTCCCAGTGGGTGTACGCGTTTACCAGGTAGGTGATACGGTTGTGCACAGTGTACGCTTAATAGTTAATACACGACCTGCAGACCTCGGAGAATGCATTTCCATATCAACAAATTAATTAGCTTTCCCTTGCCTCGTCGGTGATGGTGGTTCTAATAAAATAGTAATCAAAACTTAAACGCACACTCAAATACCCAATAATATAAGAAAATTAGGACCTATACCTATATTAATAGGTAGTGATACTACTCATTTAGTCATTTATATACAATAATTATATTATTATATATGATCGTGAGGTTTACGACGTTTACGTGCAGAAACGCAATATTATTAATAACTTATTCATTGTTATACTCGAATACTCGATAGACTATTTGCGTTTTTGAAGATCCCGCACAAGTGAAAATGGCCTGTCTATTAACTATTAAGTTTGTCCTTACACTTGTGTCTGTATAAGTATAACTATTGAAAGTGAAGCTTGACGGACTAATGATGTTAGCATTAATATAATAAGTAATGACACCACAATATGATTATGTATAAGTATAATATATAATAAGTAATAACGTACAACTGGACAATTAAATACACAAAAATACACACACCGCGTACACTCGGTATGACAGCGTCTGTGCAAGTGAGTATTACATACATCAAAGGCCCTATATATATGCACGACCGAGGTCATCCCGTATCCGTATATAATATAGAAAGCGATAGTAAAGGTGTTGCACAGCTATATCGTAACTGCATAAGTATCTATTAGAAAACGATATTGTACACGCACGTGTGTTTACATGGTTTGAATACTAATATTAATTGTATATTTCAACAATAACATACAGAAAAATATAACGAAATATCTCCAAATAATATGTTTACATACGTTTGATATCCATGCACTCTTATTATTATTATATGAACAGCAAACGGTACTTTATCTACGATTTTACGATTTGTTATTCGACTAGGTCACTGCCGTCAGCAGAAACTTACCTGGTGGTAATGAACGTGGGCTCCGAGTACGAAGATGTTGACTTGAGTAATTGGCCAACTTTGAAAAAAGACGAAGTGTGGCAGGTACACACGCCAAGCGTCGATGCACCATACGTGGAAGGGTGAGGAGCAATTAATAATTGAATTACATTTTAATAATATTTGATAAGCACAACGTGGTATGATAATATAAAAAAAACCTATATAAGCTGTAGGCATCGTTTAGACACCCATAATTTATCCGCGAAAATGGTTATATCACACATTTGGGAACTGTATTTTCAGTAACTTTACCAAATGTTCACAATGTATGGAAATGTACTTCATCCATGTCTTAGCGTTTTTTGTATTTTTTTTTTTTTTGATAATTTTAAGACAATCTAAATCATACATTCTTAAAGTTACATTTATTTATTATAGACCACCTACTGTATAGTTAGTAATAGTATTGATATAAAAAACGTCACAGTTAATGATATCCTCTATGTGGTGTAGAAGGTTGGTAAAACTGCTGTAAAAATTGTACTCATAAATTTGTTCTGCATGAAACCGTTTATCCATATTATTATAATCTCATAACTACGCAACAACCATGTAGGTGAAGACATTTAAAAATACTTTGAATTAGTTTTAAGAATAGTAATATTTTTCTTGACATTTCAATAATCTTGCCTATATAAAACGCCTTAAATAGCAATTGTGTGGCGTCTAAACAATTTATAAAATAAAATATCTCTGTATAGTAGGTACTAAGTTTCTGAGTGCATTTTACAACTGTACTTTTTTTTTTTAATTTTGGGCAATAGTTAAATATTATGTGATTTAAAACGCATAAAAATGATTTAGGTATATAATAATATATAATTTATCTATGTCTTATATTATCCATCATAATATAATTTATTTACTGGATAAAATATTAAATGTAAAACAAATCACATTTCATTTCATTGAAGTATAAAACATTTTTTTTAAATATTATTTTTCAATTAATTGGACCGGTAAAATGCGTTAATCGTCGATTTTCAATTTTTTTAAATAGACATACATGAGTGTAAGCGTGTACCTGTGAGGCTGTGAACGAATTTTTAATGTGTTTAGGTGATTGATAGGTAACTGATAAGGTAGATCACTTTGATACAACCTAAATTATGTGGTATCCGTAACCGTATGTATACATATATATACGATAATAAATAATAATATATTTCATAATATATATTACATAATTCCTAATGTATACATCACTTATATTAATTATATTGTTGTACTGTAAGTCTGTACCTAAAGGTAATGTTTTATTGGTTTTTTGTTTCACCATTTAGATATTCATGTGAAACAAGATATCGATTACCAATGCCACCAAAATCTGCCATGGTTTTGTGTAACAAAAAATCATCATCATCATTCTCCTCTTCGCCACTGAGAACATCAAAATGTCCATGTAGTCCACTGGTGTTTCCAATGGCTATTGTCACTGGAATAATGGTGTTGGCCACCTGCTGTTTCATAGCTGTAAGCGTTGAACTTATTACAAACATCAATGAGATCATAGACATCACAGCCACATATAGGTAATGCACGTTAAATTTAAAATTTTTTATAAAACTTGTTTAATACCAGTGATTTATTTAATGTAAAAATAGTTAAAAACTTTTGAATTAATAACTATTAATTACCCAGAATAGAAAGTCTATAAATAATGAATTATCTTGACAAAAATATATTTTTTTTTGCGCATTGCACTTATGATTACGATAAAAATATATGATTAACACAAAACTCAGGCTTAAAAATCGTAAAATAAATAAATATTGCTCACGTAGGCAGCCTCTCAAATATACTATATCTACACA